AGGTTTTCGGGCTAAGGGCGTGGGTTAAGGGTTGGAGGTTTAAGGTCTCGGATTTAGTTTAGGGCTTACAGGGTACAGGGTTTCGCGGCCCTAAACCCTAAACCCTAAACCCCTAAACCCTTAACCCTCAACCCCTAAACCCTAAACCCTAAACCCCTAAACCCCTAAACCCCTAAACCCCTAAACCCTAAACCCCTAAGCCCTAAATCCCAAAACCTTTCTTCCCTAAGCCAAGCCGCGGACTGCCCTGGCCCAAGAAGGCTGAAACGTTTAACGATGGTACGGTAATAAATTAGGGTTTAGGGTGTAGGGTTTAGGGTTTAGGGTTTAGGGTTTAGGGTTTAGGGTTTAGTTGTTTAGGGGTTGAGGGTTTAGGGTTTAGGGTCTAGGAGTAGGTAATAAATTAGGCTTGGGGTTTAGTTTTCAATATCCCCGCTTCTCCCCTACTGAGCTTTGCCTCAAAACCCTCAACTCTCATCCAGACCACACCGACTTAAACCTCTAAGCCCAAAACCCCTGAACCCCAAAGTCCTAAAGCCCTGAACCTTGAAGCCCAAACCCTAAACCCCTAAATCATATGAGCCCTAAACCCGGTAGGACAAGGCCGACGCCGTTGATTGTGCCAAGACTGACTTTGCTTTGCTCGACCTCTGTTGGCTCACGCGGTGTAGGAAGGCTGCCATTTACACCCAAATGTAGGGGCCTTAGTAATTAGAACAGGGTTTTGGGCTCCTTTTTAATATAAGTATACTTAGGAGACCTCAGGGATAACATAGGTAATTATTTAGGCTCTTTTGCACGCCCCAAAACCGACCGAAACCCTACCCGCACGCTCTTCGATCGCCCCCTTCTTGCCCTCAACCCTCAACCCTGAATCTCTAAATCCTGCATGCCTGGACGTAATGATAAAATGCGAACACCTGAAGCCGTGAAACCCTAAACCCTGGATAGTTGTCGATTTCAGTGCTCAACACTACTTGTAGTCAGAGTACTATATTCGAAGAAGCACGGAACTTCACAACTCTCCGCGATCGGTACCTAGCATACTCTAGACTGAAATCCCAAACCCAACATGCTAGAGACTGAACCACAAAAACAACCCAGCCCCCTCTTTCCCAGATGTGCTGGAAGTCTGCTATGGAGGTAGGGTCGCGGAGTTTAAAGCTTAGGGTTTAAGCTCCACTTTGCAAAGCCCAAAAACCCCAAGCCCTGTGACTTCGGCAACCCAAATCGTGCATATGCTGGAAATACAGCCGCGTGAATACTTGGAACGAGGGCTTGAAAGCAACTGTTACTTTGATAGAATGTGGGACATGTAATAGAACGTAGCCGCCTAAGTCATATCCAACACTGCTTCGGGGTTCCTTATGATAGGCTTTGTGACAAATACCCCAAAGCCCTATTCTAATTAATTTTTAAGGCCCATGGGAACCATGTGATGGTTCAGGTGTCAAGGTCACGGTTTTAAACTCTAAACTTTAGGGTTTAGGGCTCAGGGTTCTAAGGTCCTAAGGTTCAGTGACTCAATTTTTTTGGAGCTTAGCTATCGAGGCTCTCGAATGCCTCCCAATATCAGGACACTCCCTGCGCCCTAACGCCCAAAAAAAACCTTAACAGGTAAGCCCAGAAGGAAAGGCCCACCCCTGAAACCAAACCGTAATCACCAAACACTTGACCCTAACCCCCCCCCTAAACCCTAAACCCTAAACCCTAAACCCTAAACCCTAAACCCTAAACCCTAAACCCTAAACCCTAAACCCAAACCCGAAACCGAACCCGAAGCGCCAAACACTTCACCCTAACCCCCCCTGCATCCCTCTAATCAGAACCAAGTTGCACCCAAGATCCGGACAATGGAGAGACTGTAGGTAAGAAAAAAGGGCCCTCAGCTAGAATAGGCTTTGGGGTACACTACCCTATACATTAAAAAACACTGAGTAAGTAGACATTCGTACCAACTATTTCGAACCCTATCTTGTCGTATCAGGATAAGAAATGCTGGGGAAGACTATTATTCTCAAAATATTTAAGTTTCTGTATCACGCAGGTTTAGGTACTTCGGCGCTGGACTGCCGAATGCACGCACACCGAAACGAGGCTGCTGCTGTTTCGGCTTTGCCTGCAGCCAGGCGCATGGGGGCACTCAGGGGCTTTACAGCCGAGCATCTAGGTTGAGGGATCTAGGGTTTGGGGCTTGAGGGGTTTAGGGCCTAGGGTAAAGGTGCGTTAGGGTTGAGGACGTAGGGCTTCGAGTTTCAAATTGTCCGGTTCCAATGGGGTCTGTGTGATGCTAGGTCAAGCCTTCAACGGCTTCATGCTGTGTTACCGCTCCAACGTGAAAAGCAAATTCTGTAACGCGTGAACTGACGATCTCAGCGCTGGCTCGCGCTGCTTTCGTTCAGAGTCTTGCGCTTTGTGCATACAATCCAGAGCTTGAATAATAAACCCCGGGTCCATAGAGCCAGAAACCTCCACCCACAAACACATTCCCGAAACCCCAACACGTCCACTGCCCCCATGCAAAAACACACACGCCCCAAAGAAGAGTCAGCGCTTTCACCACATCGGCGGCAACAAGCTTACAAGAGTATCGCTAACAAACGCGAACTGAATGCACGCTTTCCTGGTGTCCCGGACACACCAAACAGGCATTCTAAGTCAGGAAGAAAGGGGTACTTCCGGAGAACTAGGATTAAGCCCCTGAGCCGGCACCCTGAAACCCCGAACCCTCAACAATCCTTCGTTTTGTAGCCCTTCAACAGCTCAAATAACCAGACAAGCCAGAAGACTGTACAGCACTACCGGGATCTACACCCCCTTAAATTTGCAGAACACCACGCCCTGGTGGCGTGTATTTGCGTGTAGAGTTCTTTTCCACAGCATTTGTTTCAATCGTGTCACTAGTGTTGAACTACATGTTAAAATCTAGAGAGTG